CTTGTCCTTGTACTGGTACGGCGGGAATCGGTGACGGTCAGCTTCCCACCGGGACCGCTCATGTGGCTGGCATGTTCCCAGCCCAGCAGGCTTGCGGCCAGGCGCGGGGGAAGGCCGGCTAGTGGTGAAGGTGGGAAACACTCCACTCGGAGGCGGCTTCCAACCCCCCTTCAAAAAATCTTTCCAGTCCACAGTAGCGCTTAAGCTCACCAGGCCGACATCTTTGCCAGGAGCCCCGGGCGGTTGCGGCTTTAAAACTCCTTCTCCGCCACCCAGCTCCCAATCGACCCAGTACAGCCTAGGACGCCGGCAAGGACTGACCTGACCACTGTCAACATGCCAGGGCCCAAAACCTATGGCCTCACTCATGTGATGCCTGTCACGGTCATCCATGGATGCAACACTTTCCATGAGGAACCTCACCTGGCACCATGGGAAACATCGGCGGATCAGCGCGGTAATCCGGGGCACCTCCGCAAAGAGGCAGCTTCGTGCATCTTTCAAAGCACCCTTCTTGTCAACGTTGAGCCCGGAGACCACTTGGCAAGGGGGTCCGGCTCCTATGAGCACTACTCCTGCCGAGGAGAACTGGGTGGACCACTGCAGGACGACTTCCTCAGTTACGGTGCGGACATCATCCCACATCACGGTTCCTGGGAAGAAGCTTTCGACAACCCTGCGGGCCGGGGCATGTGATTCGACAGAAATGTGCCCACACATAGGCAAGCCAAGCGCATCGCAGGCCAAGCGAAGAGCACCAAGGCCATCAAAAAGGCCTACTGTCAACACCTGACACATGTCATGGGGTTCAGGCCACTCCCCCCGGATACTGGCCTGGGAGGCATGAACCCCATAACTCGTGAGGCCTTTTGTGACGCAGATGCCTCCACCAGTGGTGGACGCATCACTGGCAGTGACATCTCCTACCAGCTCACCCCGGAAGTCCAGTTGTGCCAGAGGGACCAAACACAAGAACCGCACCAGCTCGGCCACCACGGCAGGAGGTAGAAGCTGGGGCTTGCCACCTCCCTGCTTCAGAACCTCAATGTGACGCCACACGCAATTGAGGGCACAGAACAGCGGGCGCCTGAACATAGCAATGTATACCAGTCCTCCGGCGACCACTTGCAAATGTTTGAGGCCAGCTCGGCCCCACACAATCAGCTCCACCGCCAGCCCCATGTACTTCAGTACTTTTTCCGGGCGGGGATAAGCCACCCCTTCTTGGCCCCTGACGACCGCACCTTGCACCTCTGCCCTTTCAGCACTAACCACACTCTTCTTGGGATGCCGAGGCAGGCATGCCGACTCGTAGGCTTTCCTGACAGCCTTCTGTTCCGGGCTCTCCCTCCCCTCCAGCCTGAAGGCCAACTGGGAGTCCACTCTCTGGATGAAATCGAAGTTGTCGAGGTAGATCCTAAAAAGGTGGGAGCTCGCGGGGAAACTCTTGTCTTTCCGGATCTCTTGATCTCCCGTCAAAAGGAGGGGGTCCACGCTCCTAATCACGTTACGGTGCACATGCTGGGCGATGCTAACACTGTTAAGGAACCCCATAGGGAGGACCTTGGCGGCAAGGACGCACTTCCTCCCAGTAAGGGAGGAGGGAACGAGGTCCTCTGGGACAAGCTTGTTAAACCCCAGGAATCTTTTCCACGCAGGGGGAACCTGGAAGAGATAGAAAAAGCATCTGATGTCTTCAGACGACAGGAGGGCCACTTCAGACCCCTCCAACACGAAGGCGGACATCCCCGAAATTTGGGGCAACGTTCCAACGTCACCGGAAATACCTCGGCAGTTTCTGTTCAAAGGGATCAAGTTCATGATCAACCGGAGTGTCTCCTTCCCGTTCACAAACTCGCCTTTTCCAACTCCGAACATGCCATTCAGGAGGGGTTGACCTTGTATGTGGAACAGCTCATCCAAAGGCACCACCTCGCAGATCCCCTTACCCACCAAGCCTTGGCAAATAGAAGGCCACTCTTTGGCATCGGCAAAAACTCGGGGAGGCTTGCCTAGACTCATCTCATTTGAAGGGACCAAGAAGTCCTCGAAATGGTCCACGTAAAAGCGGGTTCCAAGGGTGCAAAGCTCTGCCAAGTTGAGTTTCCCTACTTCATCCGGGAGAGCAGGGGCAAGGCACTCCCAACTAAGGTTGACAGCAAGTTTCACCTCATCCCCCTTGTAGTCAATGCCTTTGACTCTCAGGAAGTCCGAGAAGTTCACATCTTGAAAAACCTCACTCCAACTCTCACAAACCTCAACGGCCGCCGCGAGTTGTTTCACGGCCACTCCGGCACACTGCGGACAGCAGCGCATGCTTGGCGGGTGAAAGCTCGGATAGGATTGCTAGGGGAAGAGGAAATACGGATTTCCCTTCCATGGGCTGGGACTTGCAGTGCAACATTCCAACATTGAACAGATCTAGCAAATCCACCAAGCATCCACCGGCCTCGCCTAAGGTTAACCCTGGGAGCCTCAGCTTGATAGCGTTCAGCCGCTCTTGCACGGCCAGAGGGCGCCCAGGAGGGGGACCTTCACGGTCGACCGCCTCCCCGGCTCCCCCAGGAGAACGGAGCCCTCTCCCGAATGCCTCCTCTTCATCACTTCTTCTCCTCCTTCTTCTTGGGCCAATCTTTTGCACGACCCTTATCTTTCCCCTTCTCGCCTTTTCCTTTTCCACCACCTTTCTCATCTCTGCCTCGCGGCCCATACGGCACCCAACCTGAATCTGAACCTCCTCTCCCTTGTGCCCGGGAGCCAGCAGACAAAGCTCGGGCCTCATCTCGTGCCACCTTAGCCGCATCATGCACCTCGGTATAGCGCGCCACACGGGATGCATCCATGGGCAGGAGCTCCATCTTCTGCATCACCGAATAGTGAAGGCCAGCAGCAACGCCTTCCAGGCTCTTGATCCTTTGCACCAAAAGGTCGCCTAGCTCTGCAGCCCGGCCTTGCAACAGGAGGTCCAGCCCGTAGCACAGGGTGTGCGTCTCTCGAGCCATCGGAGGTGCCATCCTCGACATCAAGGTCTGCCTGAAGTACATGGTGCTCAGAGGAGGGAGCGGGCCATCCTCCAAATCCCACAACTGCCCCGTGTTCTTCAGGAGGCTGGCTCGAATCTCCCTGATTCCTTCAGCCGCCAACATGCCGGGGAAGCGGCGGCCCACCTCTTCGGGCCTCGTGCTGCATCCGAACAGCTCCTCGGGCTCCTCCTCAGACATCGAGGACGATGAGGCCCTCCCCGAGCTATCATCCGACCTTTTCCTTTTCTTCCTCACTGTCCGGGACGCACGCCTCAACAAGATTTTCCTCACCACAGGGTCCGGGTCCAATCCCGTGGACCCCACCACATCCTTCAACGCCTTCTTACCTTCAAGCACCACCTTCTTCCTCTTTTTCTTTCCTCTCTTCTCCTTAGCCTCCTTCCTCTTCTTCGGATCCGCCTCCAAGTCCCCCGCCTCGGGCTCATAGGAGTTCTCATCAGGAGCAAGAGCTCCCGCAACTCCTGCATTTCTTAGCTTCTCTGCTTCTTCACGAAGAGCACGATTCTCATCGGGTTCCACCCTGCACGCATTTGACATCCACGCCTCAGAGGGCACACCCGGAACTTCGCGAAACACACGACCATGTACCAGGCCATCCTCGCAGAGCTCCTGCTCGCACTCCCGCGGACACACATGCAGCTTGATGCGCCCCTCAGGAGTGCCTGAGACATACTCCACGAGTCTTCCGGATCGGGTCCCCTCCACCAAGAGGTCCAAATAAACACCGGACCCCTCAATGCGGGCACCCTTGACAACTCCCACCACAGAAGTTTCTTCCATCCAGTAAACGCATGGATCCAGCCAGATCCTCTGCAACTTTCCCAGGCTGACCATATCGAGCTCGGCCAGCACCAGTTCATCTCCTCCTCCCACACGTCGACGGCGCCTAGGAGGGTTCTCCCCATTCTCTATCACAGCAGCAGCCGGTCTCCTCAAAATCCCAGCAGGGCGCCTCACCAGCGGCAAACCTGCTGCGGGCCTCCTCAAAATCTTAGGAGGCATTACTCTAGCCTCCTTCAACGGCCCCGAAATAGGGCCTGCCTCTCACGCTTCTTCTTGCCTTTGTTCTTTCCTCCTTTCCAAGGGACCACCGCCCGGGGTGCTCGAATGGGCCCAACCCAGGCACTGCCAACTCCCGACTCCTCAGGAACAGGAGAGGCAACCGCCTCAGGGCTATCCTCAAGAGAGGCGGCCGCCTCAGGGCTATCCTCACCCTCCGACTCAGTGAGGGATACCTCGGTGGCCTCCCTCCTACCGGCAGCCAACTCCGGAACCTCCTCAGGCAATTCCGCAGGGGAGCGGGCCCTAGGAGCCGGGGGTGGGGGATCCCTGGGAGGGGCGCTCTCACAGGTGACGCAGAAGCCTCCCTCCTGCGACGCCTAGCCCTTTCTGGGCTTTTCCTCCTCCGGGAGCTGCGGCTCCTCTTGCTCTCCTTCCTCCTCCGCCTCTCTGGCGTGCGGGAAGCCCTTGGGACCTCCGGGGCTGCCTTGGAGGTAGTAGCAGGAGAGGACGCCGAGTGCGCCCCCTCCCGATCCCCTCCTGCCGGAGAGGGGCCAGCGGGCTCAGCCGGCCTGAGAGCCCCTAGCCCCGCGGGCACCACAGGTCCAGCACCACCGGCTTTGACCTGGGCGAGAGTGCGACCCTCCCGCTGTCTCTGGAGCCGAGCGCCCCAAGACAGGAGGGTCGAGGAGAAGTCCCTGATCCTTCTCCCAAGCTCCTCGCTGTCCTCCCGCTCAAAACCACGGAGGACAGCGAACCGGAGCTGCTCCAAGGAGCTACACACCGTGCACCACCGGAAGGTCCCGTACCGACCTTCACACAGTGGGCACGGCTGCTCCCCCATCCACCTACGCCAAACCTTAAGCTGACGTGGCTGCGGCAGACAAGTGCTTTACTCTTTATACCCGCTACGTGAGTCCATATATACAAACATGTGTGTGAACCAAGGCTTGGCTCCTCATAGTCCGCAGCCGTCAAAGGGCACAACTCAGGGACGAAGCCCGGGACACCGTCGCCCTTGTCAAAGGCCAGAACCATTTCACCTGCAGGAGTAATATCACGGGGCCTAGGGGGGAGGGAGGGGACTCAAATGAGGCCTCATAAACGGCGCATTGTTGCTATTATTCTTCTTAAAATTATGATTATTGTTGTTATTATCATTAGCAATACCATGTATTGCATGATCAAGGTCATCATGTTGTTCATGATTCATTTGATTGTGTCTTGATGTGTGTCTTTGTGTCTTTGAGTTAATACTGGATACAGCACAGGTGTCCGTATCAATCAAGGTTTTGAATGATCAAATTTTGGTCCAGGTAGTGACTATTCTAAAGCATCGCCTTGTCTTTTGATAATGTTTCATCTATTGTATACCAGCTATCACATAAGTTATATATATATATACTATGACTATCCCCAATTGGATGTACTAGATCCAATACACATATGCACCTCAAATTGTATCATAGAACAATAAGCCCAAATTAGATCCCCCCCTTCCCTCCCTCACCCCCCGGGCCCATGAGAGTTGGATGTTTCTCCAAGGATCTCCTAAAGTGGCGGATTTCCCTTCGGTCTCCCTTTAAATACCAATAAACATCCCCCATTTTGGAGAGAAGCTTCCATTACCCTACAACTCGAGCTAGTTTTTTATTGAGCCAACTTCGACCCAATGCACGAAGTTAACTCTTTGCTGAATGGGGAAACAATGAAACACCAAAAGGCCAAAAGTAAACAGGCAAAACATGTAAGAAGCCTGGCACTGTTGTCTTAATCACGGGAGTGCCTGAAAATTGGTCCTTAAATCCGTGAAACACTTTGTAACCGTGTTTCTGCTTTGTGGGGGCGGATTGGACACATTCGTTTTCCAAGCGTCAAAGGCTACCCTCACACCAACAAAAGTGAACGCTTTGCGAAGGGATGTAGTCTTCCACAGGGGGTCTGCGCGCATGCTTGTCGCTAGAAGGGTAGTTCGGTCAAATCAGAGCAGGCTCGGGCCAGTCCCTTGCTTCAATATGTTGAAACCGCCAAACTGTTTCAACCATCGCCTTTAGGGCGTCCTTCAAGGGGGACGAGGGTTATGTTTAAACAGCTTTTGCCCGACCGTGCAAATCTGGCTCACTTCCCCAGTGAAATTGTTTGCCACTAGAGTGGTCTTCACAAGAGGCATGTCCAAGAACCCAAGTGATCTGGGCATTTCATTCTTCGATGAGGTAGAAACAAGCCAACCCAGAGGTTGATGTCCTTACCCCCAAAACAATTCACCTTCAAAGCATGGAAGGGCTTCTCCACCCCCCAAAAAAAAACTCGAAAAAGATGGCAGGGTGGCCCTGGGCGCAATTTTCTGAGCTCCAGGCCTGGCAGAACGGTGAAGGCGATGATGTCTCCCTTCACCTTGCAGCGGAAGCCTTTCTTCTCGGGCTCCTGAGAATTCAAATCTCGGCTTCCCGAGGACATGGGGATTCTTTGGAGGAAACCAGGGGAGGTGTTAGGGGGTTGCTTCAATCCTAGGTATGGTGATAGGTCCATCGAGGGACAGGGGCGAAAACTCGAAGTTTGACACAGATTGTGCGTCCCCTGGTTGTGGAACACTTTGTGAAACTTCGGGTTTTCGCCTGTCCCTCCCAGATGGACGTCTAAATGACTATACCTCATAGAATTGAAGCAACCCCCGTTCCAAAACACCTCCCCTGCTTTCCTCCAAACAACCCTTGCCTGTGTCAAAATAGGGGGACCCCCCAAAACTAGCGGGTGCTCAATTCGGCGTCGCTTTAAAACCACTGCAAACAAAGTACCCAAACAAACAAAAAAACAACCAACCAATCAAACAAGCAAACAAACAACCAACCATCCAACCAACCAACCAACCAACCAATCAAGCAATCAATCAATCAATCAATCAATCAATCAATCAATCAATCAATCAATCAATCAATAAATCAAATGAACCAATGAATCAATGAATCAATGAATCAATGAATCAATGAATCAATGAATCAATGAATCAATGAATCAATGAATCAATGAATCAATGAATCAATCAATCAATCAATCAATCAATCAATCAATCAATCAATCAAAAACGAACAATCAAACAAAACAAAACACGACAAGAACAAAAATAGGAAACAACACGAAACAAAACAAATCAAGACAAATCAAACCAAAACAAACAAACAAAGAAACAACCAACCAAACAAACAAACAAAACAAACAAACACACCAACAAAACAAACAAACAGACAGACAGACGGACAAACAAACAAACACACATGCCCGAAACAATACAACCAAACAAAGAAACAAACAAACAATCAAACAAACAAACCAACAAACAAACAAGCAAAACAACACACAACAAAACAAAACGAAACAGAGCAACACAAAACCAAGCACACAAACAAACACACAAACACAAGGAAAACCAACCAAACAAAACAAAACAAACAAAACACAACATAAAACAAACAAACAAACTAACAAACAAACAAGCAAAACACAACAACACAAAAAAGCAACAACACACAACAGAACAAACCAAAACAAAGCAAACCAAGACAAGACAGGAGAAAACAAATAAAAAACAAACAATCAACCACGCAAAACAAACAAACAAACAACCAACCAAACAATCAAACAACCACACAAACAAACAAAACACACAAACAAACAAACTAACTATATAACAAACAACCAAACAACCAAACACACACACAAACAAACAAACAAACAACCAAACAAAACAAAACAACACACAACAAAACGAAACAACACAAGACAAGACAAAACAAACAATCAAACAACCAAACACACAACCAAACAAACACACAATCAATCAATCAATCAAACAAACAAACAAACAAACAAACAAAGAAACAAAGAAAACAAAACACGCAAACAAAACAAACAAAACAAACAAACAAACAAACAAACAAACAAACAAACCAACAAACAAGCAAGCAAAACAACACACAACAAACCAATACAAAACAGAGCAACACAAAACCAAGCACACAAACAAACACACAAACAAAAGGAACACCAAACAAACAAAACAAAACAAAACAACGCAAAACAAAATAAAGCCAAAAAACAAAACAAGCAACACACAACAAAACAAACAACAACAACACACAACAGAACAAAACAAAACAAAGCAAACCAAGACAAGACAGGACAAAACAAACAAACAAACTAACAAACAAAACAAACAAACAAACAACCAAACAATCAAACAACCACACAAACAAACAAAAAAACATAACAAAGAAACTAACAAACAAACAAACAAACAAACGCACAAACAAACAAACAAACCACCAAACAAAACAAAACAACACCACCAACACAACGAAACAACACAAGACAAGACAAATACAAACAAACAAACAATTAAAAAAAAGAAAACAAATCAAGCAAACAAAACAAACAAAACAAACAAACAAACAGACAAACATACAAACAAACAAAACAAACAAACACACAAAACACAACAACACACAACAAAACAAAACAAGACAAGACAAAAACAAACAAACAAACAATTAAAAAAAAGAAAACAAATCAAGCAAACAAAACAAACAAAACAAAACAAACAAACAAACAATCAAACAAACAAACAAACAATCAAACAAACAAACAAACGATCAATCAAACAAACACACACGACAATCAAACAAACTGACAAACACACAACCAACACAAACAAACAAAACAAAAACAAAACAAAAAACAATGAAACAAACAAACAATCAAACAAGCAAACAAACAAAGAAACAAACAAACAATCAATCAAACAAACACGACAAACAAACAAACAGACAAGCAAACAACCAACACAAACAAGCAACACAAACAACCAACACAAACAAACAAAACAAACAAAACAAACAAAGCAAACAAAACACAACAAAACACAACAAAACAAAACACAACCAACAAACAAACAAACACAACAAACAAACACAACAAACAAACAAAACAAACAAACGAACAAACAAAACAGACAATCACGCACAAACAGAACAATACTGACATTTTGACCACATCCGACCCACTCCTCCGGCGCTGCAAGTGCCGCCTCCTTGGCGCCGTTGAAGGTGACGATCAGCTTCTCGTTCTTGAGATTGTTGTAGAGACCCACACAGACCTTCGGATCTCCCTTCTCGTGAATTTCCGTGGGGAAAACATTGGAAAAGTCTTTTTTGCGGGGGACCCCCCAAAATGGGGACCCCCGGTCGTTTTCCTTTTAGTTCCCTTTCAAGACCATTCTAAAAAATGTGCTATAAAAATAACACAGCCATATGGCAGAATCCTTTTCTTGGTGGATCGCAATCTAGAGAAAACCTCAAGACAAGGAAAGGGAGGCATCCACGTGACTGAAAACTCCAGTGGATTGTGCCCAACAAAAGGGAACTTGCTGTGTGCCAAAATGGCGTTCCCAAGAAACAAGTCCAGAAACTGAAAAAGTGAGGGATTGATAATCCGCTCCCCCTATTAATGAATGACCCCCATTAATAATAAATGCAAATCCGGGGCCTGAGACCAAATGTCCACTCCGCACAATTGATTTTCCATTGCGCCAATACTAAACCAATACTAAAGTCTTGGAATCCTTATTAGGGGGCACTTTTAGCAAGCTTCCAGTCTCACTTTTCAAAAGGTGGGTTCCTCAATTCCCGAAAAGGTTGCTACATCAAATTTCCTTATTAAACCGCTTACTCGCGGACCTGACAATTCAGTCCATTTCCTCCAAATCCTATGTGAACCCTCACATTGTTGGAAAAGCCAAAAAATGCAATTCCGAAAACCCCAATTAAACAAAAAAACAAACATTCTTGGGAGGATGTATTTATAATAGGGGGGGACCCGTATTTATTAATAGGGGGAAGAGATTACGAGGGATGTGGGAAAGGCTGGTACAGGCCAACCTCGCAACCAAAGGCAGTTGGAAACTCGCAACTGTAAAAACACACAAAAAATGGACAAATGCAACCGAAAAATCCCAATTGGAACAAGATCTCAAGAGGAATTTCTGGGAGATTTTCTGCCAAGCCGTAGCTCATGGCCATGATCCAGCAAGCCTTGCGCGTATCGTATATACTCCCTCATAATGTTAACCCCGGATTAATAAACCCTGGTTGATTAATAGGGGGTGTTCCCTCTTAGTGGGGATTCATCATAATTTTTGGAGGGAACACCCCCCTAATAATGGGACGGGTTATTTTGATCCTGGGTCAACATTATGGCTCTGCCCAGGGGGATCCAGCCCATGGCCCGATTTGGGCGAGATACCTTGCGCGCCGCACTTACCCAGTACCACAGTACTCCGTCGGGGCTGCCGTCAGACGCTCGGAACAAGGCCAGTTCCTTCATCGCGGCCTCCGAAACAAATGCCACGCGGAATTGGATGGAAACAACAAGGTGCCCCCTTCTCCAAATAACCCTCTTGTTTAGGGTATCATGTGAATCCCTTAGAAAGATCCAGGCTCCAAGTACACTCTTGCAAAGCAGGTATTTGGAGTAGGGATCACCAACAATGTGAGCTGGAAAGATACACCCGTATTAAAACTCTTATCTCAAGTTGTTTTCATTGCAAATCCAAGCGGCGGTCTTCATAAGCATGAGGTCCCCCAATACAGTAGCATGCCCCTTTAAGTGTATGAGGTCTCACGTGTACACACCGCTGCAAATGTTCTGCTAACAAATTCAGTCGGCCAAATTGCTGGGAACTGCGGAAACAAACACAAAATACCGAAATGGGCCACTCCTTCTCCAAGCAGTTTGGGGGCATCTGCAGGCTGCGCGGGACTTTCGCGAAAACATGTTAATCTTTGGGCCATGGTGATGAAGATGATGAAGATGATGAAGATGATGAAGATGATGAAGATAATGAAGATGATGAAGATGAAGATGAAAATGATGATGCTGATGATATGATGATGCTGATGATGATGATGATGATGATGATGATGATGACGATGATGATGATGATGATGATCGATCACTGCGTCACTTGCACTTCACTTGCGCTTTACTTGCGCAGCCCCATGTTTGACTTGCGCGGCCGCTCCTGCAACACACTCCTGTCCTTCAAATTACAAGCGGCGGTGCAGCTCATTTGATACGTCCAAAACAACTGAGATCATGCCTTACATTGACACATACAACTGGTTTTCTTTTTCGGCTGATGTGGTGTTGCTGGTGGCTTCCCTCAAAGCCAAAATGAAAAGAAACAACGCACATCAAACTGGGTTTCGTCACCACCTAGGCTTTTGCAGGGTGCTTCAGCGAGCTCCCCATCTTCTCTGTCCCAACCCGGTCACCTGGAGTATCAAACGGCGGGTGGAGACTCCGGGCATTGACGGAAACCCAGGATGAATGGGGTTGAATTTTAACAAGGAACACTTTGGTGGACATCATTTAAGTTGGGATTTAGGCCCACCAACCATTTGTAAGGTGCTTCCACACCAAAATGCATAGCCGAATAAAATTCAGTTTGGAGAGAATCCTTCGCTCCCCTCAATCCGCCAGGCATAACCCTGGTTCAATCCTTATCGGGGCTCTTGGCGCTAAAGGCACAACGAAGCCAAGCTTTTCGCAGACCATCCAGCGGAAGTGCCCTGAACAAAGCAACAACACGTATTTCCAACAGTGATAGATGTTCTCCAAGATCAACAGCAACTAGACATAACATTCGATCAAACACGTAAGATTTCTCCACGGATCTTCCACGCCTTGTTCGTTTTGCGCCACGCGGGCGCATGGGCCTCAGCATCTGCCTTCCCCATTGCAGCAAAGAACAGGCGAAGCTCGAGCCAGCTCTGGAGATCGACTCAGCGTACCTACCTGGGCCCTCAAACCACCACCACCCGAAGAATGGGGGGGGGGGGGTATTCCAGGGGTTGATGCCCCATTCTTTTCAACCTTCGTTCTTTTGCAAAGCCGGCTGTGTCCCTAGGGCTTTTGGTGGTTTTCTGGAAAGAAGGATCCCTGGAAAGATGGGGAAGCTACCACTAGTGAAATTGAATATTGCTCCCAAAAAGTATCGGGAACTCAGACTAGTTTGAGGTTGCGGGTATCTGAACAAAACCTTGTCCCAACTCTCTGGGGATACCTCCTCTTTGGTCAGTTGACATACCCCAACAAACAAGATGGTATTTGGAGGGGTCCAGGCAACCTGAAGGAAAAGCCACGACAATTCGAGGATCCCATATTTCTGGTTTGGGGTTGAATCACTGCAATCATTTTGCTCCTGTACATCTATCATGTCCTTGGCATGACATTTTCAATCAAACCTACTCCAATTATTTACCCTGGGTATGCCTTAAAATAGGGGAACCCCCAAAATCGGTGGTTTCTCGTTTGCTGAATAAGGACCAAGCGGACAAGCTGCTTCGCTCCCTGCGCCTTGCACAAGTTCCAGTCGCGGTCGAAGCATTCCTCCGGCTTGCAGAGGTGGTCCCGCAAGAAGTGCCTCGTGACTTGACTCGCAAAACCTTGGCGTACATCTGCTTGGTACACCGAGAATCAGATTCCAAACTAATTAGAGGTTAACCGGAAGCGAGGAAGAACCCAATCAACTCCGCTAGTGGGCCCAGGGACTGCGCAAAAGAGGGAATGTCAATGCCAACCGGAAAATAATATAGTTCAGATTCCGGTTCATATTTAGTCTGCCTTAAAATGCAACATATTTTCTGAGAGGACCCAAGGCAGACCCATGGAGTAAGAACCTCAGCAGCTGTGCCCCATGTGAGGTCTGCTATCACCCCCGCCTACCATGCACAATACCGCTCACACCATCAATGCTCACAAAACCATGTGTGCATAAGACTTGCTTTGATTTGGGACCGTCCCTGAGGCCTTATCGTTTTTGGGGGTTCACTGTCTCGTTTCCACTGCGTTTCTACACCCGATTACGACCCTGTTCGACGGAGAGTATTGGCTCTTGCTCATATGGTGATCACAATTGCCTGTAAAGCCTCTTGTGCGTTATGTTTTGGTCTTTTCGAGAAATAACTGTGTTTTTTTTCATGAAACGGCATGTGTCCAAACTTCGACGTTGTTTTTTGAGTTTCGTGGGTAGAGTGCATCTTGGAGAGCCAAACAAGCGGAAAAGGGTGGAAAAAACCGGAAATCTTAGATGAGCCAGGCTACCTTTCCACAATAGGAACTGTTTTTCCAAACAACTTATTTTTGTTTCCGAATAACGGCCAAAGTTTTGTGCGTTTGCTCGGAGGCGTTTTTTTTCCTTCTTATATCTCTCCGCACACATGGGCTTCGCAGGTGCCTATCATGATGACCATCCCCACTCGAACAAGCAGAAGTGTGTGTGTGTGTGTTTGCCCATGCTTATTTGTGAATATCCAGAAGCCAGCTTCCTTTGTGTGGTATCTTTGTCTTGTCGGTTTATGGCTTTGACCTACTTTTCGGAAAAGAGGTCACCTAACTGAATTTCAAGAGGTCACTTTATAAGCGAGATTAAAGCCACTTACCTACACTCGAATGACACTCAAACCAGTTCGTCAGACACTGCAGTAAGTGGCCTCTTCGTGACCCAAGTAACCTCACCTCCTTGCGACACTCAAATGAAACACATTGACACTCACATTTGAGTAACATCAGGCAAAAACGCGATCTTCATCATGCTCCTATCTACAAGCTCGCTTAAGAATCAAGCCTTGCACGCTCCGGGGCAAACGAGGCCACTTTGATGATTCAAAAGAAGCGACTTAGGCCCAAGACACTCAATTAGTTAAGCGGTCTCGTTTCATTCTGTCTAATCGGCCGCGATTTGAGGTCACTCAAAAGAAGTTGGAGTAGTCGATTTCTATGTGGCGTGTCCCAAGTTTTAAGGGAAACACACAGTCAGGTTTGTCACTTCCGGGGTCCGCATGCGAATTTTGCGCCTTAGTAAAAAACAAAAAAACTGTGAGACATAGACACAGGTACATGGGTATAATGTTGGACCCTTCGCTGGACATCGTTGAGATTCATTTTCAGTGATTGAACCCTTGGAGACAAAACGGTGATGATTCATGTCTACCAACCACTTAGGTGGCTCCAACTCTTAGGAATCCTAGACCAATCCCCAAAAAGTGGTTTCCGTGCTGCTTATCTTTCAACACGATCCTCAGAAAGGGGAACCTCCTCAAAACCAAAAGCACCTGGCCAGGAAGCACCTGGCGACCATCGCGAGAGATCCGCCTGAAGGTGGAGGTTTCAAAGGTCCAAAGCTCCTTCTTCTTCACCTGAAGCATCCGGGCAAGCGCATGGCGCAACCGTTCGATTGAGGGGAACAGGCCCCTGCAAAAAGAAGTGCTCAAGAAGTCCACGTGTCATGGCGGTTTGGCGGTTGGCCTTTTCGGGCTTGTCTATTTGCAAGAGACCAGAACACAGCCTTGGGCTTGTGCCCACCTGTACATACATGGCTGTGGGTCAAAACCAATGGTACCCTTTTGGGTCTATTTTCGTGGTTGGATTGGGCTGTTCACTGGGGCCCCCGGTACGGTTTGGCTTTTGACCCCTGGCCACATGTACACCCATCGCTGCTGGGCCTTGGTCCAGGGGTCTGTGAGTAAAGGGACCTCCACAAACGAACCACGGACGGCGCTTCGCCTCCGCCTTCACCACTTTGCTGGGGACCTGCCGTGGCGTTACCTCCACCTGCGAGTCTGCGAGGCGCTTCGGCATGCTTGGGCAACCTGGTTCGCATTCGGCTGTGGGTCAAAAATAGGGTAACCCCCCAAATGGAACCCTGGCAAGTGGACACATGCACCAAAACCTGTGCCCCCCGGTGGTTTTATTTTGACCCATACCCATTCAGCATCTACAAGCAAACAAATACAAAAACACATTACTTCGCAAACACTTCTAGGTCCTCCAGTGGAGAGGTTAGAATAAGGGTACCCGATTCTTTCTGCAGTCTATTTTAGTAGGGGGACCCTCCCCCAAAAAGGGTAAAAGGGCACTACTGGGGGACCTTGACTTTCTACCATGCTGCTCTCCGACATTGGTCGCCTGTTGGCCATGGGGGGCAGCTTTCCTTATCTACCAACCAGGCAGTTTGCTTTCAGCATGGCCATTGACCCTAAAAAGGAGTCAAAAGGCAAAAGGCCAACCAAGTTGTGTCGCATTCCCGTCCAAATTGAAGTTGCCTTGGCCTCTCAAAGCAGGGGATTCCTAGGCCGAGAAAATGAAGCCAAGATCTTGGGGCGCTTGTGCCGACACAAGCCTCCAGCCCATTTGTCAGTCCGTGCAAACAAGGAACCCATTTTGAAGGCGCTGCCAACAGAAAGAAATATGAAATCATTGTCAGTTTGCTGTGGAGGAAAAAAACCAGGAATCCAAAATGGAACCCTGGTAAATGGAACCCTGATAAATGGAACCCTGGTAAATGGAACCAATGACCAAAACCTGCGTAACCCCAGCTGCTTCATTTTGAGCCACAGCCAGTGGGAAGGGTCAAATCAAGCTGTTGACACCTCCATCGCATGTCCCAACGGCATTGAATTGAAAGGGAAATCCCAGGTTAACCAAACACCGAAAGCGTGCCCCAATCTTAACACAGGTTTCTCAAGGTAGGCCCCAAAAGATGGGCTTCTTTGCCACCCACGACAAAAGGGGCCACTTTGAGAAAAATCGCACGCTTCGAGGCCTTCCCTCCCCTGCGGCCCTGCAAACACCGGATGTGCCATCGAAGCCATGGTGGAACCAAGATCAGAGAACCCAAGGTGCAAATCCCGATTCCCTTCGGGCGAATCGAGCAGTCGAACAGGGCTGAACGAGGACGTACAGTATTCACTGGTACCAGAATGGCTGTAAGGGGAGAGACCTTACCCTAGACTCTACACGGGCGTGTTCTGTTTGCCTTTTTAGCGTTTGGGACTCCGAAGGGAGACCAATTTGGCAGCTACCCGCCAGGCAAAAAGCGGAAGGGAAACCGACACACCGGAGGTCTGTGAAGAGCTGGCCGAGCATTCTTCCAAAGCTCACCGTGTCTGGCGATTCGCAGCTCTCGCCATAAGCCATCTGGGTGAACCAGAAGTGAAGCGCTGAATGTGTATGTCACATATACCCCTGAACCCGGTCAATAGATCGTAAATTATAGCCTAATGTTGGGAATGCAGCCCCGAAGCGGTCCAACATGGGCCAAACCCAAACAAGAACCCTCTGGACCCAACTTTTCAGAGTTCGGGGACAACTGAGTCTCTTTCCCCTTACATCACCCTCCACGAAACTCCCGTAATTCTTGCCAATAGCTGACATCTCAAAGGAGCCAAAAACAAACATATACCGGTTTTCTCGATACTTTCTCTGTACCATAAGGGCCTAAGCAATTAGAATGGATTTGTGGGGTACGTCAAACCGAACGAAGGAATGATCATAGGATGAACACGTCAGATATTTTTGATTTTGATCCGATACTATTAAATGTAAGTGACCTCCATTCGCACCCCCACTGACATCCAAATAACACGCTTTGACACTCAAAACGCCATGTTCGGGCTTTCCGGGTCGGCCCCAATCAGATGTGGCAGTTGTCACACTTCGACACGGGTAGCTGTTTGATTTAACAGAATCCCAACCCCTATCCAGCCAGAAAGGGCACTTAGCAAAAGAATCAAAGGGTCACTTAGGCCACCGACACGGCCTCAAGTGCCCTCGATGCAAAAACACGTCAAGTGCCCTTCATTGGAGGGCAGCTGGGGAAAGGAATTTCGCTCCGGGAGCCTCTCTGATCTGCTTTCTTCCAATGTAATACATGTACATATACATACGTACATGTTTATATGCGTATTACATATATTGTAGCACCAAGGGCCCAGGGCCAAGAACCCAAGTCGCCCTTTGCTTCTTAAAGACTTGGCTCTGCCGACTTCCGGGCCTGGGTGCGGTCGGAGGCGCTCTCCAGGATGCACAAGGCTGTGGGCTCCTGGCCGGAGCGGAGCCATGAGAACTCCAACGGAGGGGCCATGTGTTGGGGGTAGCTGATGGGACGTCTTCCCCCCGGGAAAAAGAAACGGCCTAGAGTCTCGGCTGCGAAGAAAACCGGTATGAAATCCATCCTTTTTTTGCTGATACCACAAGAACACCCGGAGCCTTGACACAAAAAAGGGTGCGTATTACACTGCGAAGGGGAGAGGCGGCCAACTGCCGCAAAGAAGCGCTGGGCTCAGTTGGCTCTCAAGGCCCCAAGCCAACGAGCTGCCGTTCGGAAGGAAAGGTTGCGAGCCAGCCACAATGCAGAGCTTTGAGATGCCTGACAAACAAGATGCTTGGGCTGTGCGCCGCAGCTGGCTGGGTTCAGGGTGTCTTGCGATCTCCCCTCCTCCATCTGTTTTCCAGCTTGTGCATGTGAAGCAAGTGATGTATTGTTGGCACCAGGCTAAAGCAGCACACGCCAGTGTCGTAGCACAACTTCGCAGCAGAGTAATAACTCGAAATTAAGCTGTTGCTTTCTCCAAAGCGTCTTGACATCAAGCACAACGAAGAATCCCTCTCTGGGTCAAGCATCCTGAAGAAAATCATGCGCGCGCCCACACACACACACACCACGTGTGTGTGTGTGTGGCCCCCCTGTTCCTAAGGGGTTCCCGCGGTGCTCTTTCTCTCTTTTTGGAGTCTGCCCATGCCAGCAAACCGACCCCCTTTCTTAGTACCTCGTCGCGGTAGTCATGGGCACTGACGAGTAGCCGCGGTGAGCGAACAGATCGGGAAGGTAAGCTGACGAAACTCCACTTTTCACCTTCCAGTTGCTCGGGGGTGCACATTGTCAGTTTCGCCATCTCATATCAAGTGTGTTTAGGCACTGCGTCCGGGCTTCGGTCAGTGTCTTGATCCCTGTTGTGGGCATCTGTTCCGACTCATGCAATGACATTTTCTACAGACTGTTACCGGACCTTGTCGCTCGTGACGCTTGACTGTTCCAGCTGACCTTCTCAATACAGGCTTGGACTTCTCCCAGACGTTTCAGCACCCCAGATTATTTCCTGGTTGACAAACCATCAGACCACCCGACACATCAGGCATGAACCCATGACGCCGTCAGCTTGCTCTTGGCTCGCAATTCTCGGCAACAGATGCCACGACCCAACGCAGGTCCGATGTCGAACTGGCCCTATGACCAAGGCCGCCAAGAACACAGCGGGTCCTACGCCACCCAGATCACCAGTGAGCCAGACAGCATCACCGAGCAGGAGTGCACCTGTGGCACCGACCTCCAGCACCGGTACCTCAAGGGCCACAAAACCTTCGGTTCCATCCCTTGCTCCCAGTGTCGCAGCGGTACCTATCTATGCGTCTCCTACCTGGCCCGGATCCGCTGCTGGCCCACTGCCGCAAATCCTGGTGAAGGCGCGCCCAGCAACCCCAATGACTCCAATGACTCCAATGACTCCAACTACCCCAACGGCTCCAGCTACAGCATGTCCGCCTCCGGCTACCGCACCGACCTCTACGGCAACCCCATCTGGTCAGATGCTGCCACCGGCCAACCCACCGGCAAGATCACGCCGCACAACGGAGGGCGAACGGTCGAGTTCCCACAATGCTTCCCCCTACTCCAAGTCAGTGCCCCCACAACGTCGCAGTCGAGCTCGCTCCAGGACGCCACCACCGATCTCCCGAAGGGACGCACAATCTGAGCATTCAACCAAGGCAGCACCGGCTCTCAGTGCCCACAGCAACTACAGCCTCATCCCGAGCGCCTACAGCAACTAAAGCCTCATCCCGCGAGAAGCAACAGGTCCCCACTTCCGCGCAGCAGAAGCAGTGCTCCATCGGCTCCAGCCCCCAAGACCACCGGTGCTCATCCAGTCACGGAGTCATCCTCGAGAAGCACGCAGCTACGTCCGAATCCACAGGCACACCCACCGCTGATCCTGCTCCCCAACCCACAGTCCGACCCGTGGAGGAGAGAACTTCAGGTGCTCGCCTCGCCGTACGTCCGCGACGGGATCCCGGTTAATCAGGAGCAGCTGGGCTATGTGGCCGCTACTCTAAATGCAGCAGGAATACCATCTCAGCACTCCACCCTGAACTATGCGAAGGTCAATTCGGAACATCACTACTCCAAGATCACTCCACACTGGTTCATGCTGACCATCCCCTACCTTGGCGCCACGGTTCGGCTCAAGGAACCAACGAAGACGCGACCCACTGCTCTGGACCCACGCGTCCAGTGTCGGCGGTACTCGAGGTTTTTCTACGAAGCAGGCATATACATCCATCCAGGCAGCACTCCTCGGAGTGCCCAGCCTTTTGCGCCCAAGGCTGGAAGATCACTGGACACGCTGATTACGATGCTGAAGAAATTGCCCGAACGATGAGTCAGAACTGGAGTATGTCTTTCAACATGGCCCAACTGTTGCTGTTTGGGCGAGCTGTCGGCACCTGTCAGCCGATTCGTGCAGGAGGAGAGCAAGCTTGTATCGAGGCGTTGGATTCCAGTGAACGTCCTGACGTTATACACTATGTGTCAGGCAAGTGTTGGATGGTGATTCCAGAAGCAAGCCAGATCGTTGGACTCGCATGGCCTGCCGACGCGAAACCACCCACAGGTGTCCTCCGCTCGTGAACCTGCATCAGGCGATGATTCAGATGCACAATGTACCACTTCGCAATCCAGCTTTCTATGAGTTTCATCGATGCGCTGATCTTGCTACGCCGGCAACCCGATCAGAAGAGCTGCTGCACCTGATGACAATTAATGATGTGTCATTGCAAATGCCACGCTGCCGTCTTCGCCCGCTGACAGTATTTTGCGACAAAAAGTGCACGCTAGGGTCTTCTGACGCAAGCACGACCTTATTTTGCTGGTCTTCTTGACGTGATTTCATTAGCCTGTTTGAAAACTTTTTGTCGTAGTGACAACCATGCCGTATGCCCAGCGTTTGATCAATCAATCAGCAAGTGTCGGAGATGAACCCCCATCCCTTGATGGCTACTCATGGCCGGCGACGTCGGCAACCCCTTCTTCGCAACCGATGTCTTCGCATCTTCCATCATGGTCGGTACCGCAGTCCCAGACAGAAGCCTACTCGAGCTCCAACCGGATGTATGGCCCACCAGTTCCCCCCGCAGCCTCCTGGTCAGTTTTACAACTATCATGGCGGTGGAACGACCCGCATGCAGACAGGTTCTCGGCCCCCACCACCAGCACCACCAGTTCAACTTCAGCCTCGTGCACCCCCAGGCCAAGGCGATGCAACGCAGTACGCTCAGCCTCGCTATACGCAGCTACTTCCTAGCACTTTTCAATCTGATGACATCTTCCTCGACAAAACGGAAGTCCGCGGCCTGCAACTATACCGTCACATTCAACCCACTCAGTGGTCTCGAAGGGTCGGACTCGCAGGAACAGCAATTCTAGATCTTCCGCTGACACGTCTTCTTCGGGGAGGAGCAGAAGATCACGCACTCCGAGCGCTATCGAACGGGCGATACAGTACACCGGTGATGGCTCAGACAATAGCCGAAGCGGTGTTATTGACATCAATCCTCAAAGCCTTGCGAGGCAGGGAGGTCGACATCGATCGGACTGCCCGCTCCCTTCACACGGACAATGCGCCGGACAAGCGCAATGAGGCTATGCAGTTCATGGAGCCACTCGCGCTCAAAATCGTGGATCTCATAGAGTCACTGCAGCCCGCCAAGCAGGAGAATCTTACCCGCCACAAAATTGCCGAATTGGAACATCAGCTTGAGCGCTATAAGAACAAAGGCATCACTCTCACACCGGACAAGAAGCAGCCATCTTCGTCTCCTTCCAACACCGCATCCTGGACCCCCACACCTGGCCGCTCAGACCAGTCCCTCTACATCAACACAGCGATGTCGGCTGCTCAAGGGCCTCCCCTACCAGTTCCATCTCCGGAGGCTGATCCAGCTCCCAAACGACGCCCGGCAAAGCGCAAGACTCCGGAGGTCGCCCCGGACATCACCTTAGATCCAGAACTTTTACGTCAGGGCAATCCCAAGGGCCAGCAGGTTCCACTTCCCACCAGTCTCACGGACAAAGTCTTCAAAGCGTGGTTGCATGAACGCACGCTGTCCAACCAAAAGACTTACCTCGATCTCGTCAAGCAGGAGCTGGCATCGGACACGATGGAGCAGTTGAAAACTATTGCAGTCAAGTGGGGCGCCACTATCGCGCTGGTGAGCAAGGGATCGAAGCGAGCACTCCTACAGTTCATTACGGTGCTTTACATGTCTGGCAAGTGAGAGACAAGATGCTAGCGCTCACGATGAAGGATGTTAGCAAGCTATGAATCGGCTGGCACAAAAGGCCCTGCTGCTCGGTGTGCCCGGAACTTGCCCTGACACTTTCCGCTGTTGTTTCTTCTTTTTCTTTTTCTCTTTTTCTCGTTCCAGGTTCTGGGGGTCTGCGAGCCTGTGTAGTTCTAAGTTGACCCACTTAACATTTCGGTGCTCGAGCATGTGATACATGGCTAAGCCATGCCGGTTATTCAATCTCCGGAGACGGTGTTTCTCCTGCAGCTCTTCGGCAAGTATGAACGGTCAGAACTATGCGGCGCTGCCAGACACTATGGCATCCCTGAGCCCATGTGGCCAGTCAGCTTGCAGCACGGCACCGACCACCTCCTTCCTTACCTCACGGCGCTTGTTGCGCTAAGACTTGGTGATCCACTAGATGTCCACGCATCCTACCAATATTCTCAGGTTCTCTACCTGATCATCATTACGAGTCGCAGAATTCTCAACACGCCGATGGTCAACGAGCAACTATCTATGTGGGCCGAGTCCCTGTCCACGCTGCTCATGGTTCATCACTACGGTCGTCCCACACATGCACTTACAGAACTCAGGCGCCGACTACGACGCTTGCGCATCCACCCGAACATGTACACCTTCACCCACTTCTCGCAGCCCAATGCGGTGTACTGGAAGCAGCGAGTAGAACTCCGCCCTGAC